AAACAGTGGCGTTCTTGCATCTCCTCAATTTCTTTCCAACCTTAGTCCACTGAACCTCTCTATTTTCTTTTCGAATCCACTTTCAACTTTCCTTTCTTCTCCTGTTCTTCATCCCAATGGGCAGCCAAAAGATAGCAACCAAAACCGGTGCACGAAAGTGCATGGTTAATGGTTGTTCAAACCGAAACCGAAACATTTGGAATTGTGGGTGGTCGCGAGATTATTCTGTATGCAATTGTTGCCACAACTGTGGGATGACTGCCCCATCGGATCGATCAGTTGCCGTAGGTTCAGCGTTGATCAGGAGCGCTTCTGCTACCAGACGTTCCTTGTGACTTCTGAGAGAATCAATTTTTGAAGCTTTACACTCGGTTAATTCGTTCAACCTACACATCAAGATACACAAGCATTGCGTCGCACTGACAAAGCTGGACACTGGTCCCCAATGGATTACGGCTTTCACACACCGCCCCGCTGCCTTACGGGTCAGGCTTTGGCTAGCCGAAGGCTCCGATTGTGGATTCCTCAAGAAAACTAACCTGCCTTGGCCTGAACAAGCTGGCAGTATTCAGCCCACATGCAAATCATGGGACGTTTTTCTTTCTATAAAGATTAGTGTACCATTATTTGTTTGGCACAGTCTGGCCTCAGACGTTTATAAAATATAAATATAAACATTTACTCACAAAACTCTTGACGATTAGTGGACTTAAAGACGCACAAACAACACGTGCACCGAGAGGCGGTAATCCCATTATCTCATTAATTTCGTTTCTGTTTTTTTACCACACATCTTAATGTGGTGAACTGCGGACGAGGAAAGCCCCATAGGCACGAAGACCTGCCGTTCAGTGCTATATACCGTTAACCTAAGCCTCGGGAAATTGAGTGGCGAACCACATAAGAACCCTCTAGGTTTGGTGTGGTATTGAATAGTATCCCCGCCGCTACGTTTTACGAGGACTCTGTGAACGGAATTCTTCTTTATTTTGTGTGATAAAGCACCTGACAGATCGGCTTCCTTACAAATAATTTATCTTCATTTCAGTTAATTCGTTTTTTTGATGAATAAGGATCAAAAACCAAAAGTTCGAAAACGGGCAACACATATTGTAACAGACTCCAAACCACGACACAATTATGGCAGTGAAAAGCCATTGTTTGTGTACTCTTGTTTATGTGGTCAAATGTCTCTGATCATTGATTGCTTGATTGACAAATTGCCTCGACGTCCGCGTGATGGTGCCCGGGTGATTGATGGTTCGAAACGGGCACACAAAACGACAGCTACACCGGCTAATCCCCTAACCCCGGTCTATTTGCGTTGGCCCAACGGGATTGAACGGCAGTTTCGGCGCTATTGCAAAAGCTGCGGGTTGCCCATATTTTATCGGCACAAAGTTGATAACCCGGTGGTGAGTTTATTTTGGGATACAAAATGATTTCCTGCACATAATAGAACACCTGATATTTTCTGTCACATTTTGAGAAACCTAGGAAGAGTGCGATAGGTTTACAACGAGGAAAAAGGAGAGGGGAATGTGAAGCGCTGAGCATTAAGTATAAACATCCTCAGTCGTGATTCCGACCACACATTACTGCTGATGAAACATCACATTTTTTACCTATCTATTTCTTTACTGTTGTTTAGACGTTTCCTGATTTTATCTGAGTGTATCACTGTTTCTCGCGAAACTCTTCTCATGTAGATACAGATACAGATGAAGAGGATAGATATTTGTATTAAAACGAATCTTCTGCAGGATCATTTTTGTTCGATACGTCTCCCGTCTACGCCAAGGTTGAGTAACGCGCCAAGCCAGAAGGCGGTGGTTAGGTGCAGAGTTCTAAGTAAACGCGGTCGCCCATCGAAGCAAGTGGTCGACCTCCATTGAGTACATTGGTTGGGGTATGTCACGCATGTCAACTAGGTTGCCACGGCCCGTGATGTTTACCAAAGATGGTAGTGGTTGGAAAAAAGTCAAGGGTCTGCAAAGTAATACCTGGCATGGGGGTATAGAAACCCTAGGTCCCGTTAGGCTCCCGTTAGGCTGCTGACCTCAGGATCACAGTAATCAGTGGTTAGAGACACTGAGTGATATGGCTGAGTGTCGTAAACAGTGCGGCTCGTGTATCTCAGTTTTTAGCAACCTTAGTCTATTGCAATTCTCCATTCTCTCTTCCACTCTATCTCCTTTTCTGTCTTTCTCCTATTGCTTCATCCAAACGGGCAGCCAAAAGATAGCAACCAACAAGCGGTGCATGAAAGTGTATAATTAATGTTTGTACAACCAAATAAACACTGATTTGTCCCCGTTTTTAAGAATAGGTAGTAAAATCGATATGGTCCAGTCAATTGGGCAAGCTTCATTTTCCCAAGTTGTACACATTAAGCTACGGAACGGGTTTTAAATGACTGGATTTCTGTGGGTATTCTATCATTGCCAGGAGATTTCCACGGTTTGAGATGGTTGACGGTATCTGAGAATTCTTCTACTGATGTTGGAGAGCAGCTCGCGATAATCGCGAGGAAGGCGCATTCGGAGATTGGATTATAAAGCGATTGAGAAGAAGATTGAAGTATTCCAGCCACCGAGTCATCTTTCCTCCCACATCAGAAATTAACTTGCCGGAGGTACTGCGCAACACGGATTGAACGACTTGTTTCGTTCCCGATGCTGATCATTCCATTTAACAGAGGGCCGTCGCGTTGCCCAGGTTGGCTGATATCTCCATTTTCGTCACCACATCATTCCAACAGTTGCATCCGTGGTAATGGCTTGAGATCGGGATAAGCAGAGGGCTGAGCTAGGTGTGTCTTTCTGGCCGCTTTGGCTAACTATGGTCCGGTCGGATATCCAATCCTTCAGGCGACGTGACCCAGCACTGAGTTCGTGTAGAGCAGCTTGCACCGACGACTTCAGCCGTGACAACGTATTGAAAATTGGTTCTCGTAGTTCGGGTGAACTGAATTCTATTTCGGGTGTACTGCTCTAAAGGCAGCTCGCCGATGGGAGACTTTCGCCTGTCGAGTAGTCTCCAGTCACGAGCAGCTATTCTTTCTTCACGAATGCCTACAGGCGAAATTGACTTCAGCCTTGTCCACTGAGTTTGAATTGAACTCTATGCTTCTTTGCGTACCGAGGGAATCGTTTGACAATTCTGCACTTATCATACCCATCAGTGTCTGACGTTTCTCTCTGCTTTCCAGTGGAGGTACATTTAGGTGCTTCGTGGGAGTGGTCTTCCTGCTAGCTTTTAGATGAATTCTAACTTTCGGGCGAAGTAGCACGTGATCAGATCCGCTCTTTTCCCGCATTCACTCCCACAACAGAACAGTCTTTAACCGAAGCAACCCACTGTGAACAGATGATAGGGTAATCTAGTTGGTGTGTTGTTCGTCCGTCTTTGGAGTACCACGTCTGAAGATGCTTTTTTGTGTATTGAAACTGCGTATTTGTTATAAACAGTCCATTGTAATCGGCGAAGTTGAATACGCTAAATGAGGTTTATAAAACGAGCATCGATTGGTGAATAAGTGGGCCGGTGACCAGTGTCTTTATACCGCTCCACAGAACCTGGTTGTTCCAAGGTCTTTTTTATTACACGGATTGTAAGTTGCAATATAAGGGGAAGTTCCCACAGACAATAGCCTACTGTAAAAAGGGAGAATATAGGAATATTCACGTAGGATCCAGTTTATTGATTCTGCGTTTAAATAGTGTAGGGTTGTAAGTTTGGGGGAAAAACAGAAAGCGGGAGGGTGTTACATAACTTGGCAGTTCGGGGGAAAAAGAAAATTAGAGCAGAGAAGTACGATATCTGGGAAGTGAAATCTGATAAAGATGACTAGATGTCTGTGTGCGGGATGAGCGGATAAAAGTTGTGGAGGAAGGGGAACTGCTGAGGCAAGTTCAGAACAGCAAAATCCATAGTAGTAACGGTAGAGCAGGGTTAATGAAGCAGCCGCGCGATGATGGGCTAGTGAAGGCAGACTGGATGGCCTTTCGTTGAGCACGATCATGAAGAGAAATAGAACGCGGAACCCCACCCTAAATGGTGTTTTAAGGAAACTGAAAGAATTAAAGTTCTGGAACTGTTTCATGAGACGTGGTTTGCAATGCACCAAGAGGAGGTGTGTCCAAGATCGACACATTAACTGCACTACGGTCACGATCGATGCTGGTTTGGGCATGGCGAGTAGTGCGGTAGGAGAGGGAGTAGTGGAGGGTTGCGTCATCGGCAAAGCAGTGGATCGAGTTGACAGCCTTAGAAAGGAGATCACTGATTAATAGAAGAAACGGAGTGGGCTCAGGTACTGAACCTTGGGGAACACGAGCATTCACACGGAACGGCTGAGATAGAACCGTATCCACTCGGAAACTTGATATCCAGGCTCCAGAGGGAACCCGAACATGGAGATTTTTGCCAGCAGACCTTGGTGCCAAACTCGGTCGAAGTCCTTTGAGGTGTCGGTCGAGACCAAGTATATTCTTCCATGGTTATCGAGTGCAGTCGACCAGGATTGTGAAACAAGAGCCAGTGAGTCATCGGTGAAGCTAAGCTCTGGGAAACCATACTGGTGGTCTCTCAGTAGTCCTTCACGTTCGGGGGTACGTGCGTAGAGTGATGATGACCAGAGATGACAGTTTTAAATACTTTTGAAAAAACAGAACTGAGGGAAATGCGTTGGTAATTGTTACGCATGGGAATAATCACGACGTGTTTCCAAGGCGTTGGAAAAGAAGAAAGCTGGAGGAAAAAGGCGACA